TTTTTGTTTATAAAAACGACAAAAAATTTGCAAGATAAATAATGTTATAAAAACAATTGATGTTATTATTAACATCTGAGTTACAGAGAATATGTTCCCATTTAACGACAGCTAAAAAGTAATTTATTCATTTCCATTTCTGAAATCAATTGTAGTATGCCGAATACTAGCGCTTTGTACGGAGAAATCAAAAAAGTATTCCTCATATTCAGATTCAGAATAGAAATATTGAAGGAAAATTCAATTGCAGTGTGCCGAATAATAGCTCTTTGTATGGAGAAATGATTGTTGGAGTATATCAAATCTAGATACACATTGGTACTATTTGGTATGGAATTCAGTTGGAAGAAATTATGAAAGCTAAACGCTTGGTGAATTGCAATTCCCGAAGAGTTTTCATTACAGTTAACATTTAAACCGAGATTGTCATTAAACCATGTGGCATCCGGAATATTATAATCACCACATATAGTACGGTTTGACTGAGCATAATTTCTGGTAACAAATTCAACAGTACTAATGTGATATTCATATGAACTGATAGGTGAAGATGGAGGAATATATATAGCACCCAATACTACGGTTTTGTTCTAAGATTAAAATAAATGAATACTTGTTCTGAATCTACACTGTCAACAGGGGGTATTTTTATTCTTTTAGTGGATGGAGCTGATTTCACTGCGATTGAAATACCTCCTCCACGTTATTTTTCTGTAGTAACAGGAACTCATATTGTATGACGAGGTTTCATGATTGTCAATGTTTTTTGTAGGTTGCATGACACACAGACTCCTCAAAAATTGCTCAGACATGTGCTTCCACTCCAAATATCGTTCCATAGATGGTACCTGCAACAATCTGCAGCATCCCATGTGGGGGGCTTCTTCCAGCGGTTTCAGACGTATTCTCAAACCTATTTATGAAGACGGTCTTACAAAGCCTATCGGGTGGATCAAAGGAAGAAAGTATTATGGATTTACCAAGCCCAGCTCAAGATTGGTATCCACTACGTTGATTTCCACGTCGAAAATCACTCCAGACCCAGAAATAACCCACATGGTACATTTTATATCTGATATATGTGGGCTGTTGAAAAAATAAGGTGAATGTTCAAATTTCGCGGGCTGAGTACATTAAATGATGGATTTTTCTTATTTTTGTGTTGGTATACTCGTCTCAAACATATGTTCACGGTTTCATCTGTTTAGCATGTTCAGTTTGTTGTTGTAAGGCATAAGTTTTTTGCATGTTCGACGATTTTCTGCTATCAAATCAATGGATCGAAGAACTTGCATCAAATTTTGTGCAAAAAATAGAATTAAGTGCTGAAAAACACTTGAAATGTTGACAGTGGCATACGGTGATTGTACTCTTAAATCAGAAACATGTTTACAAGTGGTACAATCATTTCACAGAAGGTCGAGAAGATGCTGGAGGCCCCAGCATAACAACCGATGAAAATGTTGGGAAAGTCAAGAAAACTGCTATAGAGAATCCTCGAATCGCTATTAGAGAAATTGCTTAGGATATCGGCATATCGGTATCGGCATGCAATTTTTTCGAGTGGCAGCGTAGTTTGTTCCAAAATTGCATCGCTCTGAAATTGTTGATTGACGTCAACGGCAAACCAGATTTGTTTAAACTGTAAAGGGTGAAGGGTCAAGGGTCATGACATCGAAACCAAAGTCCACTCGTTCCAATGGAAGAGCCAATGGGAGCTAAGACCAAAAGAAGCATGTCAAATTAGATCAAATATCAAGGTTTTCTTCACTCTTCAGTTAACGTGGCGTAGTGCATCAGGAGTTATTGGCCACATGGGCATACGGTCAATAAGGTGTTGTTGTTATGCGCCGCTTGCAAGAAACAATACGAAGAAAACATCCGGTATTGTGGAAAAATAATGTATGGCTTTTGCATCACGATAATACACCTGCTCACTTGCCATTGTTTGTTTATAAGTTTTGACCAAAAACAACACCGTAATCATACATCAGGCACCGCATTCGCCAGATTTGTCCCCATGTGACTTTTTCCTGTTTCCAAGATTGAAGATACCCGTTGAATACGGCGGTTTGCGATGATTGATGAGATAAAACCGAATCACTGAGACAGCTCAAGGACATACCAAAACGTGCATATTAGTATTGTTTTGATGATTGGAAAAAACGCTAGCACTGGGGGGAACTACTTTGAAGGGGACAAAATAGAAATATATAAATATTTTTTTGGGAAACTAAAAATTCACCTTATTTTTTGAACAAAGTAGTACACTATATTTGTGATGCGAAAGAGGAATATCATTCTATATAGACATTTTGAAGCCAAAAAATCTATCAATTCATCAGTGTTATGAAGACGAAGCCTAACTTTTTAAAACATAGTTAAAATCACAGAACTTCTCCAAGTAAAATACATGAATGAAATCTGATACATCAGTCAAAACAAAACACAAACGCTTAAAACGATCGCACAGTTAAAGCTGTGCGACATACACACATACATACAGTGCATTTCTTGAATGCCCCCCCTTTTATTTTTTGAACGAGTCAACTCAAAAAGTTTATTTCTAGAAATATTCCTTTTTTATCTGCCATATTGCAATTCCAACAATCCGATAAGGTTTGTTGAGTTATTTTTTGTTTATAAAAACGACAAAAAATGTCAGTACGACAATGAACATCATTGTTCAGTTAGAATATTGTCATTTAGTTTTCGGTTTTACTAGTAGAAGGTACCACGTCCACATTCTCTAAAATGGTCAATTTTCGTCCATTGGAAAAAAAATTAAGCGATTTTTATTTACGGTGCGACGCGTAACTTTCACGAAACTGAAAGGATTTTCAATGAACATTTTCCGAATCTTCCTATTTGTAGAAAATATTTGAGGGAACTTGTATCCAAATTCACAACTACCATAACAAAAATCCGCCAGGTCATCCGTCCATTCCAGAAGAACAGCAAGTGCAAATAATTGGTGAGATGGTAGTAAATCCTTAACAGTCTACTTATACCGTCGCGAATGTTTGTGAGGTGTCTCTTTCTACTGTGTGGAGACTTTTTAAGAGGAATAGATATCATCCATACAAAATTAAAATGGGACACCAATTGACTGAAGATGACCCTGATCAAGGAACAGAATTCTGCGAAATCATGACACAAACCATTGCACGACATCCTTACTATCTCCACAATATTTGTTTTACTGATGAATGTACATTTTCTCTGAACGGTAATGTTCACAGACAAAATTGCCGTTATTGGAGTGACACCAACCCTCAAGTTTTCCGGGAAACACACCTAATATGCAGAAAAAATTAACCATATTGTAGGATCTCTATTTATTGATCAAAATTTAACAGGGGAACTGTATTTGAAAATGCTGGAAACTACTGTTAGTCGTCAAAGCGAGTCCTAATGAATTCGATATTGATATTGTATTCCAACAAGATGGAACATCATTACATTAGGTACTTACTCCAGACAAGTAAGAAACTATTTGGACACTACTTTTCCCGGTCGTTGAATTGGCCATCGAAGTCCCACAGAATGGCTATTTGAGGCAAAAGGTGTACGAAACTGAACCTGCTTCAATCTTGGATATACGGCAGAGAATAATAAATATTTATAGAGATATTGACGTTACTTTGTTCGAAAATTTTCGGCGTGAAATATCGGATAGGCTGTTCATATGTCAAGAAGTTCAAGGCAACCATTTCGAGCATCCTCTGAACCAACCTCAAGCTCATCACCTCATATTTTTTAGTTGAATGTCAATGTATTCAGGTACTATTTAAAATGGCGCCAAGTCGCCATCTTGAAAGTTTCATCTGTCAATTTCACTTCAAAATAAAGTATTCATGCATCAATTTCATTATCCCAAATTTCATTTTTTTGAGTTGGCCCGTTCAAAAAATAAAAGGAAGGGGGCATTAAAGAAATGCACTGTATACACAGTCATCATTTTACGAAACATAGATGTACAATATAATAGAATATAGAATTAAACATTTCTGGTTTTGCACACAATTAACAGAAGAATTTTGCAACAAGCATGAGGAGCATGTTCAAAATTGCATAGGAAAACGCCTGAGATTTTCAGTAAACTCAGATCTTTAATGTTCTAATGTAAATTTTTTTGGGGTTCCTGTTTTAAGCTCAGGCTTTTTCGGAGATGGGTTTTTTCTATTACTTGGGAGCCGTCAGTCTTGTCCATTTTCACCAAGTCTACAGAAGACACTGCAACCTCATGGCCGTTTTGCGTTTTTCTCCCATCTTTTTCATAAGACTTCCAAAAATCTTGTTACCTGTTCCAGTTTGTACATGGATGTATGTCATATTCTTCTCGACATAATTTGAGTTATCTATAAATTGTTTGTCTCCTGTGATTCGGTGCCTCACATTTGCATAAAATATGACGATCTGTCACTCTCTTTGTTGCATTGCCTCCGTTCATCTGCCCTGACAGTATCGAAGTGTCCAGTGAGTAGCTGGAAGCAGGAATTAACTAAGGCATCTGACATGATGACTTAGTTAATTCCTGCTTCGTTGAAACGGTACCTTTGTTAAGGTATGTATTTGTTTTCAGACTATTTTTTGAGACCTGAGGTCCCTTCTAGAGTATCTTATAGAGTCTGGCACATACTTGGGACTGTTCCACCTCTTAGCATTGACTTCTACATGAGCCTCTCTCAGATTCCCTCGGGATTTCATACCTACCTCCCTTGCCTTTTTGAAACGTTTTCCAGTTTGTTGTCACATTCGCGCCAGATCTTCATTGTACTAGGAAATATTCTTGTTTGACCTTTGGTTGATGGCTGGACAATGTTCGTTCTATGTAGCTCATAGAGATCAGTCTGCTGCTAACTCTAAGCATGTAGACTTTCTTATTACAAAACCCATCCAGTCCTAATGATTTTCTGGGTCTGCCTTTGAAGTTTTTTACAGGTTTTGATAGGATATTATCAATATTCTCCAATTTCAAAGTCTACATGCTGATGATCTTAACAATGTTACGGCTATCACTTCTCTACGTCTTGTGTAAACGAAGGTAGAGGTTTATTGTCCGTGGTTTTACTGTCTAAGTTGTTTGCTATAATGAACTGTTGTAAATGCTCACCTCTTTTATTGGTGTCAGTACTCCCCCAGGTCATGTGGTGCACTTTAGCATAACAACCAATTTGAGACGTTCGAGTTACGTCTTACAAGCGATAACAATTCTTGATAATGCCATTTAACATGATGGTGAAACGTCAACCTGTGTGTGTATACACACACGCACACGCCTAGCAGCTCTTCTGTAGAGTCAAAAGTGAACTATTCTGTGGGGGCTCACTCGGAGAGACTTCTTAGAAGCTAAATTGAACATCTCTCTGTGCTGCTCTTCCTCTTCCACAACACTGGTACAATATTTATAGCTTCTAAAATGTTATTTTTGTCACTATGTGCGTCAACCTGAGTAACAACTAATCAGTTTTGTATTTGAAGGTCATGCAATGGGGCCAATTTCTTGATCACGATCTGGACCATGCCACCCCATCAGTCACCTCAGAGAGTTGGGATGGTATCGACTGCAAGAAATCGTGCGACTACGCCGCCCCATGTTACCCCATGGACGTCCCTCCAAACGACCCCCGTGTGACAAACAGGAGGTGCATAGATTTTATTAGATCGTCGTCTGTTTGCGGATCAGGAATGACTTCGATTTTCTTCGACTCGATCCAACATAGGGAACAGATTAATCAACTTACTTCTTATATCGATGCCTCGCAGGTATACGGGTTTTCAGAGGAACTAGCTAAGAATCTCAGAGATCTCACTACTGATGGGGGTAGACTGAGGGAAGGTCCAATTTTTTCAGGTAAGTGTCCAATAGCAATGGGTGCTCGATAGTAGAGTAGATAGTGTCCGAGCAAACCAAAAGTGGAATGTATGATTCTTTCCTTTTGCCCTTTTTGGAAGCTAGAATATGTATCAGTATTTTTCAATCATTAGTATTGTGGCAACGCCCACTCCAACTGAGGAAAATTCAGTAACTGTGACAAAGTCCAACATTTAATTACGAAAATTAACCCAATATTTGAGAAATAAGAATTGAACAAATTCGTTTTGAAAGTATGAAAAGTAAAAATTGAATGAGTTGATTTATAACAATATTATAACATTCAAGAAGTATGAGTTGAAAAGTTTATTTAGGAAAATCCTTTATGGAAATTCAATGAAATTATTCAAAATTGATTTAATGAATGAAATTTATTTTAAGCAAAGTCCATACATAAAGCAATCGTCATCTAACACTAGATAGCGTGCCATGGATGGTGCTAGACTGAAATACGAAAGCCTAAGCAGGAAAAGGCAGTGACATTTCTCGTGACGAAGAAGCGACATTCAAGATGGAGTTGGATCACGAATGCCCTGTTTTTAAGGTCTGGTTATAACTAGTTACCTTGCAGTGAAAGCTGCAGAGAAAGGCAAATCCCATTGGGCGGTTTATGTCAAAGCTTGGCTTTCTGTATCTGTAGTGTAGGCCCACAGCACTTAGGCCACATGTGACCCATTGTACATCTTCCCAAGGAGTTGTCCTCCTAGATCATCGTCAATCCTGCCTCTCTCTTATTGACGATAACTCCGGACATTCGCATAGTCTGACAGTTTCATCTTCCTGTTCACACATTCTGCATAGAGGTGAGTCCACTAGCCCCATATTGTGGAGGAGGTGTTTTCTCAGTTGACAGTGGCCAGTCAGAAATCTTACTGTTAAAGCGTAGATTTTTCCTGGTCATCGCCAGATATTCCTTCGGCGCCAACTTCCCAAGGTCGCCCAGGGTGATCCTGGCAAGATTGCATCATTTGATTTCATCCCATCTCTTTAGGGATTGAGCATGGGTGTGACGTTTGGCTAGTTCTGCAATTATCGAAGTCATCAGGCCGTTTTTAGTCCAGCCGCTTCCTTGGCTAAAGAGTCAGCAATACGATTAACTTTACTCCTGTCGTGCCCTTTAACCCACCTCAGAATAATGTTATTATCTACCGAGGCTTTGGCTAAATCTTGGTGGCACTCTAGTACTAGCCCTGAGGTAACACGTTGTCTGTTCAAGGCTAATAGGGCTTTTCTGCTATTAGTGCAGGTTGTTACGTTTCTGCCAGAAATTCCTTTCCTGGTTATTTCTTTTGCGGCGATTTAGATACCAGCCAGTTCTGTTTGGACCACGCTGGTATTTTTTCCCATTCCCCACTTACTCCTTAGGCTTAGTGATCTGGAGTACACTCCACATCCTTGGTTTTTGGGCTGTCTGTATATAAGCGTATTGCATTTGTAGCATCTGACTCAATGTTCTGTTTTATTTTTATTTTGTAGGGTTTATTAAACACAAACCTGGGTTCAATTGCAGCAGAGGTTGCGCAGTAAGCGCTTCTCGCCATAAGCTCAGCCTCCATTGACCCATTCTTATTTCGAGGTTTACACCAGCTGTGCGCAATCGTAACATGGCCATTAACGCAACCTCCCTAACGTACAGGTCTAGAGGGGTCAGACCAGTAATTAATTCCATTGCCGCGGTTGGTGTTGTTCTCATGGCTGCTGTGATGTTTGAACAAGCCAGTCGCTGTATTTGTTATAATTTTTGGATGGCCGTTGCTTGTAGAACTTTCGGTCCCCAGGCAATGGCTGCGTACGTTAACATAGGTCTTATTATTGCAGTGAAGATCCAGGTGACCACACGGGGTGAAAGACCCCATGCGCTTCCCACACCCCTCCGACATTGCTCATAAGCCATATATGCTCTTTTTGCTCTACTCAATAGGTGAGAGTTCCATGTTAGCTTCCTGTCCAGGATAGTACCAAGGTATTTCACCTCTTCAGAGAAGTTTAGTTTGCTTTTGAAGATTTCGGGAGGTTGTAAGCCCGATAAAGTGCTGAAAAGGACCATCTCAGTCTTCTTGGTATTGATCGACAGTGAATGTTTCTTACATCATATTTCTATTAATTTGAGCCCATCCTGCGTTCTATCGCACGTGTGTTCACAAATTTGCCGGTCTGCAAGATAACTATGTCATCTGCAAAAGCAATTGTGTAGAATCCATTATTGTTGAGGTGATTAATTAGGGTATCCAGAACTATGTTCCAGAGATGTGATGATAAGACCCCTCCCTAGGACATTCCCTCATGACCAGTCCTCTCACTGTGATGTCTTCTACATTGATACTTATTGATCTACTAGAGAGCATCTTGACTATCCATTCTCCTACTGCCAGGGGTACATTCCAATTATTCCGGCGCCGCTCTTATATTTCAATACCACTTTTGTGAAAGATTTATCTTTTGCCTCAAAATAGGCCAGTTTCAGCAATATATGGAACGCTGTTTTACTTTTTATTGTCATTCCTCAATTTATTCAACTAACAATGTATTTGTTTGAATTTAATTGATTCATGCCTTTGTTCGACACATTGAAAACTATTGTTCCCAAAGTTTGTTCTATTTTAAATGACACTTGATTTAAAATGTTACATGAATTAATTTGTTTGATGAAAAGTTGCGAACAGTTATAATATAGATTCATTGTTTGAAATTTTTGAAAGTAAATGTTTGTCATATATACTTTTTTTGTAACTATCGAATAATTTACTACAATTTCTGTGAAACATGAATAAAATGGTTTGTTGGTAATTATAGTTACATATATCGATGCAAAAATTCCGGTTTGTTGTTTAAACATATGGCCCCAAACACTGCTCAGAATTATCAAGACGTTCTTGTTTTTGCTCAACAGTGAGTTCACGCGCGTCCACTTTGAACAGACCCTTTTCATAGTGAGATGCTCATGCAATATAAAGCCAACACATTCTTTTGATATCTTTACAATGTCAGCCAACTCACGTAACCTCACTTTTTGATCATTCAAAACGATTTTATGTATTTTTTTTTGTGTTCTGGTGTCACTGCCTCATTTGGAGTCCACCGCGTTTGAAATTAGCTAACCAACATTTAATTGTTGTTTCTGATGAAGCGGAGTCCTTTTAACACTATTCAAGCCATTGCTTCGCTTGAACGGTATTTTCCCATCAAGAAGCAGTGTAAAATTAAAACACGAAATTGTTTTTGATCCATTGTTTTGAAAATAACAAAAGTAGTTCCACTTTCAGCACAATAACTCACAAAAATATCACCAAATTTCAACAGCTTTCCTTTGAAGGTTAGTACTAACTGAAAAAGTGGTGAATGCAATAAGACTAGCGCCATCTATGTATTAGGCCCGAGTCTTCAACGCCCATGTATAAGTCAGCATGGTAATACTAAATAGTAATTATTTCAATTTCACATTTTCTGCTAAACCATGCATTGAAAAAAGTTCATCTTCCTAAAATTAATTTGTTGTTGAAGTAATTTTTGCTCGCCCGTCTGATGATAATGCTCAAAAATAACCCGTTCATTTTCAATATCTTTTTGATACAAAATACCTTATTGTGGCTTATTTGATATTTATTTTGTGAGACTACTGTTGGATTGGTAGCAATGCACGCAGGGTTCAGCCTAGCACCACTGGCGAGACATATGGGGGTCGAAACAACGGCTGACTGGTATTGGATCAGGAATGCTTTGTTTTTGGCTTCTGCTTTCAAATAAATCAATAATAAACTTCTGTATATCTGTCATCCCTGTATGTGAAGCCTTCTGCTCGATCTATTACAAAATATACATGGTAGTCATTACCCTAGATTCATTTGCAGCATTTCTCAACTGAGTATAATGGAAAACATTTCAATTTCCAGGGCGAAAACCACTTTTACCTTATGCTGAACAACAGGGAGTTGACTGTAGACGAAATCTTACCGAGAGCATTCTGAACTGCTTTGTTGCTGGTGATATCCGAGCAAACGAGCAGGTAGGTCTCCTAGCCATGCACACCCTGTGGATGCGGGAACATAACAGAATAGCGAGAGAACTCAAACTGATGAACCCGCACTGGGAATCCGACAAACTTTACCATGAATCCAGGAAAATTGTCGGTGCAGCGATGCAACACCTAACTTTCAAACTCTGGCTACCCATTATCTTAGGACAAAGGGGCATGGAGATTTTAGGAGAGTATAGAGGATATAACCCGAACCTCAATCCCACAATATCCAACGTATTCGCAACGGCTGCGCTTCGTTTCGGACACACCCTCATCAACCCAGTTCTACACAGACTTGACTGGGACTTCAAACCCATTCGAGAAGGCAATTTGCCACTTTCGAAAGCATTCTTCTCTCCTTGGAGACTCGTCGAAGAAGGAGGGATCGATCCATTGTTGAGAGGGCTTTACACAGTAGCAGCCAAAATCAAGAAACCCGATGAAAATCTCAATACGGAACTCACGGAAACTCTTTTCAAGGTAGCCCACGCCGTAGCTTTGGATCTGGCAGCTATGAATATCCATCGAGGAAGGGATCATGCCCTGCCGGGTTATACAGAGTATCGTCGCTTTTGTAATATGACACCGGCTGAAACTTTTGAAGATCTGAAGTACGAGATCAGCGATTCGAATGTGAGGAGGAAACTTAAGGAACTATATGGGCATCCTGGAAACATCGATGTTTTTGTTGGAGGTAAGTATACCTAATCAAACTTCAGATTAGGAGTTTATTTGAAATTCATTTTTATTAACACTGTCAATTTTTGATATTCCATATACTCGTGAGCGAAATAATTAATTTTTTTTCCAACCAAAAGTACTAATAATACAAGCTATGGTTTTGCTGATTTAAAATTTGTGTAATTGATGAATTGTATATTTCGTGGAAATTCATGGTCACTTCAATGAAATGAATGAAAACACTTTTGTCGAATTTCCACTAGTTATTTTATTTTCACGACCTGTTTCGGGTTTCATCACATTATCAAGTATAAAAACTTGAAATCTGAAAACCAGGTTATATAGGGAGTTTTTAGGTAAGCTAGATGAGGAGGTAATTAACTGAACAGGGGTGCCAACTATATCATTCAACATTGGAGAATATAAAAATTACCGAGGTTGTCAAACTTATAAATTTAAGAATGGACACCTACAGAAATGGAGTTGCTCGTTAAGGGTTATATATTTCGGGTTTTTAATTGATTTCCATGACTTTCAACAGATTCATTTTCTGGGTCAGGTGACAGAATTATTGCAATTGCTAACAGGCGTAACCATAACCCAGCAAGATAAATTATGTGCTTGACGATACGTAAATAGTTTGTAGTTTAGCGACAATATGTGCACCTGAACATAATTCATTAGATGAGATAGTATTGAAATAAAAAAATATAATGTCGGCAAATATACGTAAAAAAACCAAATCCAAATAAAGAGATCATATGTGGTTGGTAAGAGCATCTCAAGAGCAATCGAATGTTATCAATCAAATACCATATAAGCAGTGCCGGGAACGTAAAAGAATGAATGCGGCGAAGCGGATATAGAAAAGATTACTCGTTATATACGTACACTTATTCACGTGTAACACATGGCCGTACATATGACACCGCCGTATCTATGACACAGCCACACGCCCATAATAATATGGAAAATCGACGGGTAAGAGTGTCAGTCAGTGTCATAAACATGCTGTGAAAACAGCAGAGCTTTACAGTCACTTTGGCAAATGAACAGTGACGATCTTCAAACCCTCAAAACATTCAGCTGACGGAAATTTTTGTTTGTGTTGTTGATAAGTTTGTTAATATCCAGTATTTCAATTGGTATTTTATTTATGTAATGTAAATAATGTCACTTTTTGATGTGAATAACCAGCTCTTAAAAAACTTTACTTTTGTGCATTAATATAATACTGATTGAAGCTGAAATATGGGTATTTTTGGGAAAGTCAAGTTTTGTATAAACGTGGCGAAGTAGAAAGCCAAAACTTTTCTTTCACAAAAACTAATCTCTTAAAAATATATTCTTAAATCGATCTTAACGTTGATTGACGAAAATTTGAGCGACACCGGAAAAGCGCAAAAGTCCTGGCTGAGATATTTGAACATGAACAACTCTAAGATTGTAGACAATTTCGTTGGTCAATTGAAATCCACTATGAAGTGCACTTACTGTGGACACTCTCCACAAAAAACTCTCCAATTGAGTTTGTCACAATGCTTGGATTCCTTCACAAGAGAGGAAATTCTGAATGGAGGTGAAAAACCAACGTGTTCAGATGCAAGGAAAGAAGAAAATGCACAATATCCCTATCAATCCATTAGTTTCCCTGTATTTGAAGAATTGATTTAAAGATTCTCTCCACCGGAAAGATTCAGAGGCAAATTGAATGTTGCCATTGACTTTTATTTGGAAGGATTAGATATGAGCAATTAGGCAGCAATGTGGCTCCTTGTCGTTATAATCTATATGCACTTTCGAATCACTGTGGGACTACTTACAACGGGCATTACACAGCATATTGCAGACACACAGGGGCACGTGGTACGAATATAACGATTCACATGTGTTCCCAATTTTATCAATGATCACATTTCGAGGTTTGTTATTTTTTGCTTTTGCGCAACCAAAACGATATGCGTTTTCGGATCGGATCATCACGTGTGATAAAAAATGAATCCTCTACGATAACAGGAGACGTTTAGAACAGTGGTTGGACACCGACACTTTCTAAAAGTCAAAACCCACCTGAAGACCATGATCAGCGGCTGCTGTGATTTACTATCACTTTCTTCAACCGGTTCAAACCATCACAGCAGAGTCCTATTTTGAGAAAATTGAAATGTACCGAAAATTGCATCAGCAGCAGTCGGCATTGGTCAAAAGAAAGAGATTGATTCTGCTCCACGACAACGCCCGTCTGCACGTTTCATAAGCCATCGTGCGAAAATTAAACGAATTGAGCGTCGAAGTTCTGCCTCATTCACCATACTCATCAGACCTCTCGCCAAACGACTACCATCTTTTCAAGAACTTACATAACTTTCTCACCGATAGAACCTTCGCAAATCAGGTCCAGGCGAAATCATCGACTTCATCGAATCCCAAACACGCATTTTTTTTGCTGACAGAATTGATCGACTCATGTTAAATTGAAAAAGTGTACTGATTCAAATGACATTTATTTCGATTGAATCTAATAAGTATTCACCGAGTAATTACGGTTCGAATTATACTCATGAAAATGGACAACACTTTCGGAACAACCAACAGAAATTACCAGAACGAAATTGACAATTTCAGAATGTTAGTAATTCATTTAAACGGAGTCTCTCCAATGGAAAGATTCAGAGGCAAATTGAATGTTATCATTGACTTTTCTTTAGAAGGATTAGATATGCAGCAGACAATGTGGCTTCTTGTCGTTATAATCTATATGCACTTTCGAATCACAGTGGGACTACTTACAACAGGCATATTGCAGACACCCATATAGTGGCACGTGGCATGAATACAACGATTCACATGTGTCCCCAATTTCAACAAAATCGCTTGTGAGTGAGGAGGCATATGTCCTCATTTATGAATGAAAGGGAACGAAGCAGCACCTTTGAGGTGTTTTTTTTTTTTCATAAACTAAATTCTGTTAATTGATTTGTATTTCATGATTCTTCTGCTTTGATTATTTTTTCAATAAATATTTTCCTTTGATTTTAATGGGTATTTTTATTGTTAAAAAAAGTAAAATTGTCGTTGGCTGAATGCTCGTTATTTTAAAGATTGTTGGAACTGAATTCGCAGCATATAAATGATGTTGATTGACGCTCTTATCCCTGGTAAAAATTCGACCAACGATTTTTGTATTATTCTATAACTATAAAATTTCTGCTGCATGAATTTAATAGTTATTCAAAATAAATTATATGATTCATACAAGTGACCGACATATAATCCCATCTCTTCCATAAGGCTGACTTTTTATTTCAACTGCAATGTCTTGAAAAACCATCTCATTAATTTTATCACGGTATAAAAATAATTGAAAAATTAATTTTTGTAACATTCACCTGCTGTCATCCTTCACTCCACAGCTGTTGGCGCGAAATGTTTATTTTTCTAATCTCTGAATCATTCGGTATAAAATTCCTAAAGAAAATGCATTGCTATCTCCGATATTATTTGCCCTATGGACGATATGACCATATAACTTTTTGTCCCATTCTGGACTCAGCTTCAGTGTTCCTCGCAATGCAGGTATTCAAATCGAGTATTTGCATGAAATTTTGTTTGGAATAGGTTGAAACCGGAATTATTTGTTTACGTTTTTAATATTTGTAATATAGCTTTTTTAATGGAAATATTACTAGACACTTGTTAAAGAAACTGACAGCCTTTAATAAACAATATGAGATCATTTTTGTTTTCAATTGTTATAAAAAATATATTGAATGGGCTCATTTAATAATTTTTTTATTTCATTATTTGAAAGTTTATGTTTCAGATAGTACATCTGCAAAAAATCTGAATTTTCATTCTTCATCTTCCCCTTCAAATTAATAGTTGAATGTTGCGTTCACCGGGACGTGGTCAAGCTTGACGTCACATCAGTCGACTCGGGGACAAGGGAGTGCTGGCGGATAAGCGAAATACGTGTGCTACAGCCGTAGAAAGCAAGTTGTGTGTTGTTTACTGCAGTGTGTCAACTGCATGAATATGAATAATGATAAAAAAGGATGTTGCAAGTATTGCATCGTTCCTAAATGCAAGAATTCTTTGGTAACTGCACCAGACAAAATTTTCATTTCACTGCCAAGTAACTTAAAGTGACGGAAGTTATGGCAGCGCGCTATGCCAATGATTAATAAAAAAAATTATAGTTTACTCTGAGCACTACTTTGAATTTTAGGTTGAAAAAGACTTAGTAAATTACGTGTATATCAAAACTATGAAAGTGGGAAAAATTATTTGAAGGTGATTGACAATGTTTCATGATGAATTTCACTAGTTCGGACTTCCATTGTCTACTATATAAAATGATTTGAAATCCCTGAAACAACTAAAAAAGAATAATTAAAAATGAATAGCTGAAAATAACAATTATATTAAGCAAAATAAACCTGAAATGAAATAATAGTGAAATAAAATACAATCCAGTCATCACCCGAAGGAATCAGTCCAGTCATCACCTGAAGACGATTGTGGATACTAACAATCGAAACGTCGTGAACTAACGTGACTTGGAATCACTCAAATTTTTATTTTCTTTTTTCATTTCTTTATTTTTATTTATTTTTGTTGAATTTTCTATTTTACTTGTATTTTATGTGGTGTGTGGTGAGCCTAAGTTAGTGTGTGTACCGAAAGAGCTCTTGAAAAATTCGAAGCAATGGTATGTTTTCTTCATTAAAAAAAATATTTTGAAAAGATATAGTTATTCTACACACACAATAATCATCACATCTTATGAAGTCCAGTCAAAAGACGTTGAAGAAATCAAATAACCAATAAACATATAAATACACATACACCTATTGTTCAAACCCATAGTGTTTTTATCAAGTCAAAAACACTATAAGGATTAAGGCGACCATACACAAATAATATAATGTCTCAGGATATATCCAATAAACAACTTTTAGCTGAAATTTTGAAAGGAAATAAAGAATTAAAATCTGAATTACAAGCAGTTGA